ATATAATATATATATTATAATATATATATATATATATATATATATATATATATATATATATATTATATATATATATATATATATATATATATATATATTGTGTGTGTGTGTGTGTGTGTGTACACACACACACACACATACATCTATATATAAATAGTACATGTGTAAATATGTATATATATGCATATGTATGTATACATATTTATATATATGTATATATATACACTTGTATATACATATATACATATACATACATATGTATATGTATATGTATATATATGCATCTTATGTATATATATATATATATATATATATATATATATATATATATATATATATATATATATATATATATATATATATATATATATATATATAGCTGGTGTGTGTGTGTGTGTGTGTGTGTGTGTGTGTGTGTGTGTGTGTTTATATATATCGACTGTACAACAGTAGTAATATATTCATAGGATCAATATATAGTATACACACATTTTCTCTCTTTTACCTCATAATTTCTCGTGTCTCTCCTTCCCCCTGCCTCTAACTTCATATCAAGAACGCGTTTTCATGTTTTGTTAATTTTTTAAATGTTTATTTTAGTCCACCTTTCCCGTCGATATCCACACCGAGTCTGCTTGAATTTCACCTTCCGTACTGCATCTGTTCAAGGCCAAAAGGAAGCCATTTGCAGCTGGTATTATAACGGTAATACTAATTCAATCAACAGCTCGATAATGTCTCACCGTATTTTTCGTATCTTCATTTATTCATATTTATAAATATTATATTATCTTATTTATATATTATTTATATTTATATTATGTATTATAAATCTTAGATTATTTATATTTATACAACAAGACGAGAGAAAGAAAGAACATATTTGCACGCGGATTTCCGAATTGAACAAACGAGGTAGTATGTAATCTGAATTCGCTAACAAGGTACTCGGCCGCAGTATGAACGATCCCTGGTGAACCAACGAGAGAACCAACGAGCCGGTGGGTGTGGTAAGAGAGCCCAACTTAGGGTGTGGAGAGCCGGTGAACCACTTAGGGTGTGGAGAGCCGGTGAACCAACTTGTGTGGAGAACCCCCAACTTAGGGTGTGGAGAGCCGGTGAACCAACTTAGGGTGTGGAGAGCCGGTGAACCAACTTAGGGTGTGGAGAGAACCACTTAGGGTGTGGAGAGCCGGTGAACCAACTTAGGGTGTGGAGAGAACCAACTTAGGGTGTGGAGAGAACCAACTGTGGAGAGAACCAACTTAGGGTGTGGAGAGGTGAACCAACTTAGGGTGTGGAGAGCCGGTGAACCAACTTAGGGTGTGGAGAGCCGGTGAACCAACTTAGGGTGTGGAGAAGAAACCAACGTGTGTGAACCAACTTAGAGCCGGTGAACCAACTTAGGGTGTGGGAGAGCCGGTGAACCAACAGAGGTTTAGGGTGTGGAGAGCCGGTGAACCAACTTAGGGTGTGGAGAGCCGGTGAACCAACTTAGGGTGTGGAGAGCCGGTGAACCAACTTAGGGTGTGGAGAGCCGGTGAACCAACTTAGGGTGTGGAGAGCTTAGGGTGTGAGAGCCGGTGAACCAACTTAGGGTGTGGAGAGCCGGTGAACCAACTTAGGGTGTGTGAACCAACTTAGGGTGTGGAGAGCCGGTGAACCAACTTAGGGGTGTGGAGAGCCGGTGAAACCAACTTAGGGTGTGGAGAGCCGGTGAACCAACTTAGGGTGTGGAGACGGTGAACAACTTAGGGTGTGGAGAGCCGTGAACCAACTTAGGTGTGGAGAGCCGGTGAACCAACTTAGGGTGTGGAGAGCCGGTGAACCAACTTAGGGTGTGGAGAGCCGGTGAACCAACTTAGGGTGTGGAGAGCCGCGAAGACCTCAAAGGCGAGACGAAAAATAAAGATAAAATATCCTGTTGAAGACTCTATTCATGGCTGCCTCGTGTTCTGGTGATGATGTATTTAGTTCTCTATTTTTTTTTCAGATTTAAAAAAAAGGAGAGAGATTTGTTAATGTATAAAATCGAAATATACAAAAAAAAGTTAGTCAACAAAGTCAAATCCACTTTTTTTTTTAGACGTCTCCATTTTCCAGATTTAAAAAAGGAGAGATTTGTTAATGTATAAATCGAAATATACAAAAAAAAAAAAAAAAGTTAACGAAGTCAAATCCACTTTTTTTTTTAGACGCCTCCATTTTCCAGATTTAAAAAAAGAAGATAGATTTGTTAATATATAAAAATATACAAAAAAAAAAAATAAAGTTAGTCAACGAAGTCAAATCCACTTTTTTTTTAGACGCCTCCATTTTCCAGAAAAAAAAAAAGAAAAAAAAAAAGAGGGATTTGTTAATATATAAATCGAAATATACAAAAAAAAAAGTTAGTCACCAAAGTCAAATCCACCTTTTTTTAGACGCCTCCATTTTCCAGAATTAAAAAAAAATTGAGATTTGTTAATATATAAATCGAAATATACAAAAAAAAGAAGAA